ATAAACATCTTCAATTTCATCTTTTCTGTTGCACACCAAGTATTTGATTATTTGCCTCTTAGAAATTTCATTTACTCTAACCCCTGTTTTTATCATTTGGTATTAGAGCCAGGTTCCTTTTTCAATTGCCTTCAAAAGAAATGGCCATAAACAACAATTTGGGAAGTGTTTCGCACCCAACCATTCCACTCTTTAAGGGAAATGGATATGAAATTTGGAGTACTAAAATGAAGACTTTATTTATGTCCCAAGACTTATGGGACTTGGTAGAGAGGGGTTACACAGAAGCTGCACTCTCAGCAGAGGCACTCAAGGACACAAAGAAGAAGGATGTGAAGGCGTTGTTTTTCATCTAGCAAGGAGTGGATGATACTATCTTTCCATGCATCTCAGCAGCAACAAAGTCAAAAGATGCATGGGACGCCTTGTAGAGAGGATACCAAGGCAATGCCAAGGTGCTTATGGTGAAGTTATAAACAGTTCGTAGAAGGTATGAAGGTATGGTCATGAAAGAAGGTGAGAACTTATCTGATTTCTTTACCCAAATAATAGAAATTGTCAATCAAATGAGAAAATATGGTGATGATGTGCCCGAGCAAAAGTTGGTTGAAAAAATTCTTAGGAGCTTGCCTAAGACATATGACCATATTGTGGCTGCCATAGACGAGTCAAAGGATTTAGCTGTGTTAACAACAGATGCTTGGTTCTCTTTTTTCTCATGAAGATAGGATGAAAAGGTATGAGGATCCTGTGGAGAATGCTTTCTACAACAAGCTACAACTGCCCAGAAACAAATGTGGAGGAAACTCTTTAGAGTTTAGTAACAAAGGTGGATTCAATAGAGGACAAGGTGCAATCCGAGGTGGAAGAAGAGGTTGTGGAGGTCGATTTGGCAACATTAGGCATCAACATAGAGCCAATGAAAGAAGTGACTACCAAAGTTCAATTCAGTGCTTTGTTTGTAAGAGGTATGGCCATATTGCTAAAAATTGTAGAATTAAAGATAAGCAAGCCAATTTTGCATAAGAAAAGGATGATGAAACTGAAAGCTTATTTCTTGCTTGCTACACTGCTAAAGAAAGTGTTCCAGATGTTTGGTATGTGGACAGTGGCTGCAGCAATCACATGACAGGAAACATTAATCTCTTCATCAACCTGGACAAGTCAGTGAGCAAAAAGATAACCATGGGTGATGGTACCATACGAGAAGCACAAGGAAAAGGTATGGTTAAATTGGATGAATATGGCAAGAATTGTATTGAAGATGTTTTGTTCGTACCTCATTTGGAGTCTAATTTGCTAAATGTGGGTTAGTTTATGATGGATGGATATTCACTTGTTTTTGAAAATATGGCTTGCTATGTTTACAAAGATGGAACTAAAAAGGAGCTTTTAATTAAAGTTCCAATGGCAAAAAACAAGTGTTTTCCTTTAACTCTTGATTGTGAGTCTGCATTGAATGTCACTTTGCATGATGACAACTGGTTGTGGCATCATAGATACGGGCACTTGAATTTCTAGGGGTTGGTACTTTTGTCAAAACAGAATTTAGTGCATGGTTTGCCTATCATTGAACAAGTTGATGGTGTGTGTGAAAGCTGTGTTTATGGCAAACAGTATCAAGATGCTTTTCCCAAAGGAAAGGAGAGAAGAGCTTTGAAACCTACTGAGTTGATACATGCAGATGTTTGTGGGCCAATGAATACTTTGTCTCTCAACAAAAGCAGGTACTTTATTGTCTTTGTTGATGATTTTAGTAGATTGACAGGGGTTTACTTTGCCAAAGAAAAGTCAAATGCCTTCCCGATCTTTAAAAAATTCAAAGCTCTTGATGAAAAGCAAAGTGGATGTTCAATCAAAGTTCTGCGGATAGATCAAGGTGGGGAGTTTGTTTCAGCTGAATTTAACAAAATTTGTGAAGATTTCGGCATCAAAAGGCAATTGATAGCAAGCTATACCCCTCAACAAAATGGGGTAGCCAAAAGGAAAAATAGAAGCCTTGTGGAGATGGCAAAAAGCATGCTGAAAGCTAAAGGTCTTCCAAACAGTTTATGGGCAGAAGCAATCCACATTGCAGCTTATATTCAGAATCACAGTCTCACAGCAGCTTTGCATCATCAAACTCCTTTCGAAGCTTGGCATGGCTAGAAGCCCAAGGTAACTCACTTTAAAGTTTTCAGTTGTCTAGCTTATGTTCATGTTCCATCTCAAAAAAGGACAAAATTTGAGGAAAATAGTGTGAAGTGCATTTTTCTTGGTTATAGTGATGAAACTAAAGGTTATAGATTTTATGATCCTATCACCAAGAAGTTACTAATCAATCGTGATGTGATTTTTGATGAGAAAAATTCATGGAATTGGAATGAAAAGAAAAGTCCAGGTTCTGTGGTGGTTGATGGCATTTTGGAGGATGATCCAATCATGATTGAAGGTGAAATGGGTGAAGGTCAAGTTTCCTCTACACCTAATAGTGGCAGTAGATTGTGTCCATCCTCACCTGAGACACCTCCACCCCCAAGGAAGGCAAGGAGAGTAAAATCCTTGGTGGAACTCTATGAACAAAGTCAAAGGTGTCAAATGGCACATGTGGAGAAGCCTAGCTATTTTGAGAAAGCAACGTAGAACAGAAAATGGTGCAAAGCTATGGATGAGGAAATAGAGGCCTTGGAAAGAAATCAAACATGAGAGCTTGTGGACTTGCCTAAAGAAAACAAAGTTGAAAGTCTAAAGTGGGTATACAAGACCAAGTACAATTCTGATGGGTCAATTCATAAACACAAGGCTAGATAGGTTGCTAAAGGTTACATGCAACAAGAAGGTCTGGATTTTGATAAGACTTTTGCACCGGTTGCCAGGTTTGATACTATTCGAACTGTTTAACTTTAGCTGCTCAATATAAATGGTATGTTTTTCAATTTGATGTGAAGTCAGCGTTTTTGAATGGATTCTTGGAGGAAGATGTGTATGCACAGCAACCCCAGGGTTATGAAATTGAAGGACAGGAGCAGAAAGTGTACAAGTTGAAGAATGTACTCTATGGTTTGAAGCAAGCACCACGAGCTTGGTATGAAAGAATTAATGCTCATTTTTGTAACCATGGGTTTCATAAAAGTCCAAGTGAGCCTACTTTGTATGTCCGGACCAGAGGTGGAGATGAGGTACTGTTAGTGTGTCTTTATGTTGATGACTTAATATATACTAGCAATAGCTCTTTTTTGTTGAAAGAATTTAGAAGAATGATGGTTAATGAGTTTGACATGACTGACTTGGGTTTAATGAGATATTTTTTGGGGCTGGAAGTGGTTCAAAATGACGAGGGAATTTTTATTTCCCAAGAGAAACATGCTAAAGATCTTCTTAAGAAGTACAGGTTGGAAGACTGTAACTCAGTGAGCACTCCAATGGTTTCTAATCAGAAGTTCAGTTTGAATGATGGAGAAGAAAAGGTTGATGTTCATGCCTATCGTAGCCTTATTGG